CTGTTTTGATTACTGTAGCCTTGGAGTGAGTCTTTATAATTCTAATTACTGCCTCCTGGATGAGAAATGAGGAATAGAAAAATATATAACTTATCTACCTCCAGCCTGGTAGAATAAAATATTTCACAGAACATCTTCTAGGGTATGATTGTTTGAAATTTCCTCCATTTCCACCATTTTCATGAAGACTACTCTGTTAATTAATAGTTCTCATTATTTGAAAGGTACAGATTCAGTGAAAATAAATTTAATGGACCTTAATTGCATTTGTTGCCCTTATGGGGATTTCCTTCAGTTTATTCGAATTTTTGCAAGGAAAACCACTCAAGGTGCATGGAAAGAAGTAATTATGTCTCCTTTCCTCCATCCAGCTTCCCTTTGCACACAGTCAGAAATTGTATTTCTTCCCTTCTACCTCCTCAATGCCACTTTAATCGGAATTCTTATCTTTTTGTTGTTGTTATGAAATAGGGTCCCTACCAGACCTCTGGCACTCCAGGCTTCTCCCATCTATTATATTTCAGTATTTCTGATTGTATTTCCCTTTCACCCCAGAAATAGCAGATGTCTTCATTCTCTCTTCTTTCAATCTCTCTTTCATAGTCTCTCTCTCTCCAGCTTCTTTAGCCACATTTCTGTTGCTATGTTGTCCTCACAGTTCCCAATATTTCCAACAGTGAGGGCAGAATTTCTGTGACAGGCTGGCACAAACAGCCCAAGAAGAAAGGTGATCACTGGGCCAGCCTCACTAGCGAGCTGTGGTCAGTATGGCCTGTGGCCAGGCTAGTCCTAGCAACCAGCCATCAAACTATTGTTTGTGACACAGAATCTCTTTAACTAGTTGTTCTTTGTACAAGGAAATACACCAACTGCAAGGGGACTGGCTATTGGAAACAGATTTTCCTATAGTGGTGACAGGGATAATAGTCAAAATATAGAACTGAATCCATCAAAGCACTGGAATTTAATCCAGCTATAGTGTTGAGAGCAGGATCCTGAAGGCTCTCTGCTTATCCAGATATTAACACTATGCTTGCTAGATCATGGGAGGTTTTGGGGCAGGGGAATCCAATTGAGGAATAAGGGTGTCTGTGAGGGTGGGCATAGAGAGGGTTGGGAAGAGACTTTTAAATCAATCAATATCATAGTATTTTAGTATTTCAATAAACAGAGGCCAGGTGTGGTGGCTCATGCCTGTAATCCCAGAACTTTGGGAGGCTGAAGATGGATGATCACCTGAAGTCGGGAACTCAAGAACATCCTGGCCAACATGGTGAAACCCCTTCTCTACTAAAAATGCAAAAATTAGCTGGGCATAGTGGCACAACCTGTAGTCCCAGTTACTCAGGAGGCTGAAACAGGAGAATCTCTTGAACCCAGAAGGTGGAGTTTGCAGTGAGCTGAGACCATTCCACTGCACTCCAGCCTGGGCAACAGAGCGAGACTCCATCTCAAAAAAACAAAACAAAATAAACAACAACAACAAAAACAGTTTGGCTGAATTTTGCATATCAGGTCAATGTCAGCTTTTGGGTCATAATTTTGTCCTCAACTCATGTTCTGTCTTCTGGTTCTCCTTGAGACTAAAGCACACATATCTAAACAAATATTCCCATTTTACAGAAGAGGAAATTGAGACCCAGAGAGGACAAGTTGTTAGGGGCCGTTTGAGCTAAGATGTAAATCCAGAACTGACTGACCCCAAAGACAATGCTGTTCAGACTAAAATTGTTACAGACAGTATTCATTAATGTTCTTTAACATTTGCTAAGGACTCTTGTAGATATTTTTTAGTTCTTATGGCAACCTTGTAAAATAATGTAGGCATTATTATCAATCTCTTTTTCAGGTTTGGGAAACCCAAGGTTTAGAGAAGTAACTTCTTCAGGGCTACTAAAAGAATGAACAAAAGATGGAAAAGCTATTATTATATGGTAGAATATATGGGCTCACATATGGTCAAAACTTCTGATTTGGGAACTTCTTCTCTACTACCACACCATGCCACCTGAAATCTGAGCACCATCTCAACAATGCTATTTTCTTTACAAAAATGGCTGTAATAATTTGTGGACAGCGGTTAGACATTTAGACTTGTTCCTCCTGGCACTGGGTTAGCACTCAGCCAATTACATTCTTCCACATGATTCTCCTTAAAACTAATGGCAAAAAAAAAAAAAAAAAAAAGGCAAGCAACTGATGGTCACGTAACTGGGATTTGAGGATATTTGTGGCCATGTGATAATCACACTACTTAGAGTAACATTAGCTAGATGTAGCTGACTAGATGTAACTACATTAGCTAAAGTAACATAAATTAGATGCAATAACCACATTAACTAGAGTGAAACTCCAACTTCAGCTCTAAAATCCATGTGTTTTAGGAACCATTCATGAAGTATGGAACTTCTTTTCTGGGAGTAATATTTCAATCTTGCATCAAATGCTTTGTTTAAATACAAACAAGTGAAATCTTTGATATTTCCTTTATCCAATATTCTAGACTGAGTGAAAATGTCCCTTCTTCCTTGAAGCATTCTTCACCTGCCCTAGGCAGAACTAGCCAGACCCTCTTCTGTGCCTAAAGCATTTTATACATACCTTAACTGTGATCCACCTAAATTGTGCTGCGATTATTTGTATTTCAGGTTGACCTAGGAGGACTTTGACTTATTAATCTTTTTCTCCCCATTAATTATATTATGCTTGGTACACAGTAGCTATCCAAGAAACAACTGTTGACTTATTAACTAATGTATACACCCACCAAAAAAACAAAATTCATGTTCACTAGTTGGGAAAGAAATTAGGTGTTGCCATTTTTAGTGGTAGGAGTAAGGGTAACATTGGTCTTTACTGACACCATTTTTAGCGGAGGAAACTGTTATCTCTGGTAACATTTGGTCTGCCTTGGAACTTTGTATTTTTGATTAAGCAAATACTGGGAATGAAGGTTTAACAACTCTCCTATTTTATTGTAACATTTACAAATCTGTTTTTGCATTATTTCACATGTAATTTCAAGAAAGTCCCTGATGTAAAAACAGTATTCAGCAACTTAATTTAATTAAAGTTATATGGATTTTAAAAATGACGATGTTGGTCTGTATATATTTACATGGAAAGACATCTATGATACATTGTTAAGTGAATAAAGAGCAAGTTAGGAAGGAGCAATTAACGTATTAGCTCATTTAAAAAAATTCTATGGAGTCTTAGAAAATACTCCAGGAGAATAATATTGGAATAATAATATTATTTATATCTTCCACCTTGCTGAAATTTTGTATCCTTTGACCAACATCTCCCTAATCCCCAGCCCCCGACATATCCTTTCTTTATAATGGAAGATTACAATGTCCCAGGTATGAAACTAAGTGTCTTCCCACATTATTTTAATCCTCACAATAACTCCATAAATTCATTCATAATTCATTAATAATTAATTCCTCATTCAACTGTTAATTCTTGACCCAGGTAGTGTGTTAAATGTTAGAGATATAGCAATGAACCAGAAAGATGCAATACCCAACATTTCATCAGTATTCTAACTTTACAGATGAAAATTAATAAGGTTGCCCCATCCACCAGGGGTCTTCCAGTCCAACTTCTGGTTCAACTGAACATACAGACTCACGGGACTCCCACAGGCTAGGTTGCCACCTAGCTTATGTATGAAGACAGATATGGTATAGTAACCACAGTGTGACAACAGGGCAGCATTTGGCCTTTTTTTTTTCCTGCGGGAGTTCTTACAGTAGTTCATAATTTTTCCAGGAGCCATCATCTTTGGTCCTTCAGAAGATGGCTCAGATCAAGGAGATGAGACCCACATTGGGTGGATACAGGAGCCACCCTGATTTAAAAGCCTCATTCTCAGTGTAATAACTCCACAAGCACAGTATCCAGTGTCCCCAGAAGTATTTCCTCTATCTTGTATTTATAGTTCATGATCGTTTCTCCCAATTCAAAGGCAGTTTGCCAATCAGAGGTCATTTCTATCACAAGCAAGTTAACTAAAAATATAGTCAGCATTTTATTCCTATCAGATCACCAGGGAAACAGAACTAGAGAGTGAAACAAAGGTCAAATTTTCAGGCAGAAGAAGGGAAAAGAGTTTTCTTAAGTAGCTTATTCAATAAAAAATGAAAGAGTGGATTCAAACTTAGGTCTGTCTGACTCCAGTCTAGATAGCAACAAATGTGATCCCTGGAGGAAACCTTTTAAATAACTTTACTTTCTTTTTCATACTTTCTGAATTCTCAAATTTTTTCATAATCAGGAAAAAAGATTTTCATAAATAAGACTATAGCAACATGAAAATACGCTTTTGCTATAGCATTAAGTGAAAGTAGCCAGAAGCAAAGTGATATATGCACTTGCATTGTGATTAGGATGATGTAAAAAGAGAAATGCATAAAGAAAGAAGCCAAGCAAAAGTACCAAGCAGTCCTAACAGCAGTTGAATCAAGATGGTTGGCTTGGAAAAAGCTTTTCTTCCCCTGTTTTCCAGATTTTCTATGAAATGGTTATGTTATTCTTGGAATAAAATGGAATGCATTTATTAAAATAGAAAAGGAATTATAAATATGTTTACATAATTTTATAATGTAAAAATCATGCAAACATATCACCCTAAGATAATAGATATAGTTTCATATTTCTTCACAAAGGTGAATACATTTTATATCAAGTTTAGCTGTTGGGGGTTTGGAAGTCCCAAATTATCTGAAAACATGTACAAGGTCACGGAAGATAGAAAAGTGGATTTGAAAGCAGTTCTGTTCCATTCCTGAAAGTCATGCATGGAGCTGGAACAATTTTCCCAGGGTTCCTGCCGCACTCCTGCCCTGACGCCACTGTTTCAGTGCATTACGGTAACCTCCCTAGATTGGGTTCAGGCAGCAGAGCTGAATACTATTGCTCAACTCCTTTCACACGCTGTCTATAGTTATTTCAGGATAGAGCTATTTAAGGTTTCATTTTCTTTCAAAACTCACGTTTTGGGCTTTACATGATCCTTCTTTAGCCAAGGACTCATATAATTGGATAGCTGCTGTTATATTTTGCAAGCCAAAATTTCCAAATAGCAAAGCGTCAGCCATTTTCTCCATAGCTTTCAAGTTTCCCATGTCAGCTGCTTTGGCAAAAAGGAGGTAGGCTCTGTTTCAAGAATATGAAGTCAAGTTTGATTTTCAAAAATGAAATTTTCTTCTCCCTCTTCAACACTATTTATACTACTTCTCTCTAACAAGCAGGAACCAGTTGTCATACAGTTGAGCTGAAGTTCATTACATATCTAGATCAGTAGTTTCTTTTCATTCCTAAAGCAGCCTAAGGTTATAATTTCAAATATATCTCACAAATAATAAAGCTACTAAAAAGGAGAAATATATAAGACACCATCTTATACACTGAGTAAGCATATACCCTGAGTAAAGTGAAAAACTGAGGAACTTATCCTAAAATAATGAACACTCCCATGGTCACTACCATTATTTATGAATATTTGTTTTATAAAGTAAATTCTAAAAAAAAGTAAGAATAATCAAAATTGGAATGTAACGTCTAGGAAGTTATTATCAGGAGAATGATGATCCCTTCATATCTTTTTTATTATTATTATTATTTTTGAGACGGAGTTTCACTCTTGTTACCCAGGCTGGAGAGCAATGGCGTGATCTCGGCTCACTGCAACCTCCTCCTCCTGGGTTCAGGCAATTCTCCTGCCTCAGCCTCCTCATATCTTAAAATAATTTGCTAAATCAGAATATAGTCTTCAACACAGCGAAGTCAGACTTTTGGAAAAACAATAATGGAACAAAATCTTAATGGCTAGGGCTCTAGAGTCTGACTGCCTGGTTCAAATCCTGGTCCCACCTCTTAGGTCAGATAATTTCAGCCAAATTATATAATTTCTCTGTAACCCTCTAATCTATGATATGGGGATAGTATTATACCACTCACTTCATAAGGTTGCTGTGAAGATTAAACAAGATAATCCACGGGAAGGGTTTCACATTGTGCCTAGTATAGAGTCAGCACTCAATAAACTTAGCTATTATTATTGGGACTGTTGCATTGATTCTAAAGTTTTATAGTATGGTAATTGTTCCCGTATAATGAGGTGATAAGTGGTATGAACATTTAGTGATTAAAATGATAGGTGCCACTGGATTACCCTACACTGCACTCTCCAAGTCCCAGTCAGAGGTAGTCACCTGGACCTGATTGGTATAAGAAGTGATGGAGAGTCCTGCAAGGTCAAAACATGTGTCAGAGACAGGGAGTACTTTAGGAATTTATTTTTACTTTTGTAACTTCCTTTTTGAAGGTAGAAAGACCAGAAAGCATTAACCTCTACCTGTGACCTTGACTCAAATATAGAAAAAGAAAACCCACAAAAATATACCATTGCTTCTGACTCAGGAGGATCAGAAGACTCACTTTTCTGCACAGCCTATCCATTCTGCGGCTAAAATAAGCTGCTCTTTGGCAGAAGCTGGAGCAGAGTAGTCTGGGCAAGAAGGACCTCAGACAGAGAAACATCCAGGTAGGAATTAGAGTCCTGGATGTCAAAACACAGGGTGAGTACTCCAGTGGAGCAAAAAGAGGAAGAAAACTGGAGTCCAGGAGATCAAGAAAGATATTAACCCAGGTCAAAGCAAGCGGAGATTCTGGAGGCAGGAAGGCAAACAAGGTAGATGGTCTCAAGGCCACTAAAGGCAAATGTCTGGCACCCATGGATAGGCATAAGGAAGAGAGTCTGGCATCAGGATACAGACTCCCTTGAGTCTTCCTGTCACGTGGCTTGCTGCTGCAACTCTATAGCCTGCTGGGACAGGAGGGGCACCAGCATGGACCAGGGCACAGAATCCTGAGATAGGCTGCAGGGGTCTCCAATAGTAAGTCTAGTATCTCCGGCAGTTTCATACTCAGTCTCTGGACCCAGACGGCAGCAACAGGTTGCAAAACAAATCCTTCTAGATGTCTTGCATTCCAAGGGCAGAAAAACCAAGGTGCTATAAGGGATATTTGAAGCAAGATCCAGGGCTGGAGAAGGTTGCTGACAGGTAAAATTAAGATGTGGGCTATAATCCCCAAGAGGAAAAAGGTGGGAGAAGCTGGGTAGCAGGGGCAGATCCCAAAAGACAATTTAGTTAGGTATATGGATCATCTCTACAGGGTCTGGCATTGGATGCTTAGGTGGGTGATGTGGGAGCAAGGGCTCAATGCTTCTGCAGAGCACATCAGAAACTTGGTGTAGAACAATAGCTTATCTTCAAAACTTCTTTGCTGATGAGGAGTGATTCTTAATGAAAGACCATTCTAGCTGCCAGTGAGGCTTCCTGACTCACTCAGACAAATTTGTTCTCTCTGACATAGGCTTGTTTAATATCTGTACTTTTAATAGCACTGACTTTTTCAGTGATTTTTCCTACTCATATAAAAGAAGAGGCTGAATGAATCAATGAGTTGGTCTAGGATGTGGGTGTGGAGGAGCCAAAAGGACTAGTCTTAATTATCTTACACCTGCCCTGCCAACTCAGGAAGTGGCAAGGCAAAGAGAGGGTAGGATAGAGGAATGAGTGGGAATGAAATTATCCTCCTTTGGTCAGGAGGGTATACAATCATTTTCTCTCCACCTGCTCTAAGCTTAGTCATGGCTGCACAGATGTGACTTACTTAAGAAGACAGCAGGCCATCTGATAACACAAGAACTTCACCCAGCTTGCTCACAAACTCCTGAGATCTCTTCCTGTGAGCCCATTAGATTTCAGTTCTCCACTGCTACCAACTCAAAAGGGTCAGGAGGCAGAGCATGGTGGGTCATGCCTGTAATCCTAGCACTTTGGGAGGCCAAGGCTGGCGGATTGCTTGAGCTCAGGAGTTTGAGACCAGCTTGACCAACACGGAGAAACGCTGTCTCTACTAAAAATACAAAAATTAGCCTGGGGTGGTCATGACCACCTGTAATCCCAGGTACTTGGGAGGTGGAGGCAGGAGAATCACTAGAAGCTGGGAGGTGGAGGTTGCAGTGAGCCAAGATCATGCCACTGCACTCCAGCCTGGGCGACAGAGTAAGACTCCATTTCAAAAAAGGTGCAGGGGAGAGGGGCGGCCAGGAGACTGAGTTTTGGGGCAAGGTTGTGGGCAGAACAGTCTTGGTAAGAACAGCCTGAGACTGAATGACACCCAGGAAGGCATGAAGGTCCCCACACTGATGGATGGTCTGCTATTATGACTGGGCTTTCTCCCTGTTATTTAGACCAAAGAAGAAGGTCCCCTTCAAGGTTAAGTGATTGGTTACCTGGAACCTTCTCAGAGTGATTTTGCCCCATCAGGCTGAATCGAGGGTTTTCCTGTAATTGATGCAACACACCTAGTGGGCCCCTTATCTCACTGGGCTCCCATGCTATAGTCAGGGCTCATATGAAATCTTAGGGACCAGCCCCTGCCTGGTACTGCACTTCTGTTTCTTTTAGCTAGGCTGGCTGGAGAATTCTCTGTTCTTACTTACTCAGTGGGCATGTTAGTGAGATGAGCTCCTATCAGGCTGGATTTTATTTTTGGGATCTGGTTTTACCCCATCCTCATTATAACAGCCCCCAGGGACATTCAGCGTGAGGCCCAGGTTTTGCTGGGGTTGGTTGAACCACTCCCTCACTTCTTTCTTGTCTCTTGGGAAGAATTACAGCATCTTTTTGACTCTGTTTCCTTCTCTGTAACTTGGAGATAATTACGTATGTCTCACAGTATCATTGTGAGCAGTGAATAATTTACATGTAAAGTACCTAAAACAGTAACTAGCACAAAGTGGGTGCTTGATAAATGAAAGTTGTTGATGTTGTTATAATCAGGATCATAGCTGAGTGCTCTTTATCCTTTATATTTTTACACTTCCCAGAGGCTTGCGTTTTAAGAACTCATGGACTTGCTGCCTTGTCTGGGCTTGCTACCACAGCTCTGGAATGCCACAAGTGTAACTTTTGTATGTTTTTAGTAGAGACGGGGTTTCACAGTGTTGGCCAGGCTAGTCTCAAACTCCTGACCTCAAGTGAACCACCAACCTTGGCCTCTCAAAGTGCTGCGATTACAGGCATGAGCCACCGTGCTTGGCCAGAGCTCATACTTTCTATTATTGGTTCAAAATACCCTTGGCTTTCTTTGCTCCCATACCTTCAACTTACCAGTTAGGGGACTCAAGATAAAACGGACACACCTGTATTTTATGGTTCCTAAGAGCCAGGGGCTATTCAAAGAGCACAATTGTTTTATCCAGATCACAGAGAGGTTTAGTAACTTATCCAAGGGCACCCAGACAGTAAATGAGAGTACTAGTATTTGATCCCAAGGCTTTAGCTAGAGCCTTGAGGGGTGACCACAAGTTGCGCCCCTACACTAGAAATGTGGGATGGAGGGAGAAGGTATTTCTGCCTCCCCTTTGGACAAGGTAGATAAGTGATAAGAGAAACAATGGACATGAAGTAACACCATGTGGCCACAGCTTGGTCACCTCCCAGCTATCTGTGCTCACCTCACTTTAACATTTTTGAATCTCTGTTTCCAACTTTTTAAAGGAGAAAAATGAAGCTCTTCTTATATGACTGTTATAGAGGCTGGGTGTGGTGTCTCATGCCTGTAATCCTAGTACTTTGGGAGACCTAAGTGGCTGGATCACGAGGTCAAGAGATCGAGACCGTCCTGGCCAACATGGTGAAACCTCATCTCTACTAAAAATACAAAAAATGGCCAGGCGCAGTGGCTCACACCTGTAATCCCAGCACTTTGGGAGGTCGAGGCAGGTGGATCATGAGGTCAGGAGATAGAGACCATCCTGGCCAACATGGTGAAACGCTGATTCCACTAAAAATACAAAAATTAACTGAGCATGGTAAGGCATGCCTGTAATCCCAGCTACGTGGGAGGCTGAGACAGAAGAATTGCTTGAACCTGGGAGTTGGAGGTTGCAGTGAGTTGGGAACACACCACTGCACTCCAGCCTGGTGACAGAGCGAGACTCTGTCTGAAAAAAGAAAAATTAGCCAGGCGTGGTGGCACACACCTGTAGTCCTAGCTACTCAGGAGGCTGAGGCAGGAGAATCACTTGAACCTGGGAAGCGGAGGTTATAGTGAGCCGAGATCATGCCACTGAACTCCAGCCTGGAGACAGAACAAGCCCCTTTCTCAAAAAAAATAAAAAAGAAAGACTGTTTTAGAGATAAAATAGAATCACATACATGAAAATGTGCTTCGAAACCCATAAGATACTGTATAAACACCCAGGCAGAATAAAGTATGATATGGTTAAAGCCCCATAAAACTGCATACCTCAACCACACCTTGGCTTTCTGTTGAAACTGCTCTCTGTAACCCTGATGTGACAGGCAAGCAGTCCAAACCCACGCCATCTTGGCCTCTGTGACTTGTAATAAGTAACTAAGGTCTGTAATTTCCACCCTACCCAGACAATGTGTAAACTAACGCTTATCTTGACTTCTGGAAACCACTTAAGTAACAATTGGAATGTCCTAAGCCCCCCACCCTCATCTCTGCCCAGGAGGTGATTTACAGAATGTCCAAAGTCCACTGGCCCTTGGAATGTCTAAAGCCCCTAACTCCGACTCCCCACCCCTCACCCTCACCCCCGAGGTGGTTTACAGGCATAAAAGGTCTTGACACCCTCCTTTCAGGGCCACGGGTTGGAGAGACACGAGTCCTCCGTGGCCACCGGTAATAATGACCCTGCAATTTGGCATACTTTTGTCTTGATGTTGACTTTCTATGCTCGCTCCAGTACAAAAGCATTTTAATATAACAACTTCCTCTAATTCAAATCACACATTTTATTTCATTTGAATTATCTAATAAATTAAAGCCAAACCAGTATTTCTGCATGAATGGTCAGATCAGTGTCTTAATTCTGAATTTCACTTAAAATGGGTACTGTAATCTCACATGCAGATCTCCTGTTTGTTTAGAGTGATAATTTGTGGAATTCTTTAAATACATATTTGATCCTTTTCAAAACAAAAGCTTATAGGCAAATAAGCTTACTTATTATCCCAAGGAGTTTTTAATGATAAACTACATTTGGGATTTTTCTTTCTCCTTAACCTGGAAACTTAACTTGCCTAAGGTTACTGGATAAAGACTTACTCTTCTTTTTGTTTTTGGCTTTTAGACTGCTGGAGAATCTTGATGCCCATCTTAAATAGCTGGTCTCCTTCATCTGTAAAATTTTTCTCTGCTTGCTTTTGTACTATATATGAACAAACAAGAAAAAATAAAAAAATGATATTACTTCTATGTTCTATATTTTAAAATTAATGTGTTAATATAATTTGTTGGCATATTAGCTTGAGTTTTGCTCTTTTTCTTAGCCTCTGCATTCAAGATCTGTTAATATTATTCCTTAGCTGAGGAACATCGGTAGATCAGAAGGCAGAAGCTGCCTAAAAAGTTATTCCCTGCTGGTTTTTGTGAAAGGATCTGAAAGGTGAAGTAGAAAGAGAGACACTTCTGATAAGAGAAGGGATGCGGGGTCCAAAGTGGCTCCAGCCAGATGTCGTGGCGCTTGCAAAGGCGAGGTCATGAGTTCAAGGCTCACACTGATTGGCAAAAAAAAAAAAAAAAAAAAAAAAAAAAGAGAAGGGATGCTTCAGTCTAAGGAAGGGATACAAGGTTCTCCAAGCAAAAGGCAGGAGATGCCTGGTATATCAGAGGGGCAGGATCTTAGCTCTGGCTGGCAAAGACTCCCCACTCTTGGCCCTGGCTGGCAAAGACACTCTTGTCTGAGCACAGCACAGTAAACCTCAGAGCCACAAGATTCCAAAAAACATGAGGACATGGGCAACAGGCATCTTCAAGATGGCCAGCGTACACCTAGGAGAGGAGGAAGGAATTGCTTTAATTTTGTTATTGGTGGGGTGCGGTGGCTCGTGCCTGTAATCCCAGAACTTTGGAAGGCCGAGGCAGGTGGATCACTTGAGGTCAGGAGTTCCAGTCTAGTCTGGCCAACATGGTGAAACCCTGTCTCTACTAAAAAATATGAAAATTACCTGGGCAGTGGTGTGCGCCTGTAGTCCCACTTACTTGGGAAGCTGAGATGAAAGAATCGCTTGAACTCAGGAGGCCAAGGTTATAATGAGCCATGATGGCACCACTGCACCCCAGCCTGGGCAACAGAGTGAGACTCTGTCTCAAAAAAAATTTTTTTTCTGCCTAAGGCTTTTCCACCTCCCAGAACCTTTCTAAGATGTGGGGGAAGGCACAGAGAGAGAATACTCATAATAACTTGCCTCATAGAATGACGGCTCAAAATCAGTTTTGTAGAATTCAAGGAAAATGAAGAAATTAAAGTTTACCTGACACAGTGATATTTTCCAAAAGTTTATATAATGCTTTGTAATTTTTTTTTATATACCACAGCTTATAATTGGTTCACCAGCACAAAGGATGTATCTTGTCCCTTGAGATAACAGCTACTGACAGTTATACTTCGTAATTTTTAAAACATCATCACCAGTTTACAGATGGGGAAAGCTGGTTGTGGGAAGAGTCAGACTTAAAGTCATAAACATACTTCCACAAAGTGCCCAGGTGCACACGTGTGCACCCACACACATACTACTTCTCACATACTCTCTCTCTCTCACACACACACACACACACACACACACACTCTCTCTCTCTCTCTCTCATACACATACAGCCTTTTACAACATTATAGGGCCTCTTGAAGTCCATTACAATACTTAGTGAAATATTTGATTAGAAGAACCACACTTGATGCCGTTTTAAAGGAAAGGCATTTGGGATTTGATGCCTCATTAACAAGACCACAAAGAATAAGGAGCTCGTTTTTTTTTTTTGTTGTTGTTCCTGACAAGCAGAGTTGCTAATTTTCCTTTTTAAATTAAATTTAAAAAATTTAAAATTTAAAAACTATAAAAAATTCTTAACTGAAAAGCTTTTTAAAAATTATTTTGAATACTTCATGTTATCCAACCAATTTAACACCAGGCACTTTCAGGATGCAATTTCTGCTCTGAGTTATCTGTTATCTATACTCATAATTAAAGGGGAAAAATAATGGAGAAAACCTAATAATTTGTGTGTGGAATAGTAATAGCTCCCATGAAAATGCTTTTAGAGAGTGAAAATAAATTTTGAAACATTGGGCCTGTATACATATACATATGAGAAATGATTTACCACTACAAATTTCTATCCATGGCTTTTACTTTTATTTGTAATTCTTTTTTGGCTTTCCAAATGTATTGGAATAAAAATTTTCTTTTTCTTTACTCTGTTGCCCAGGCTGGTGTGCAGTGCCAGTTCCTGGGTTCAAGTGATTCTCAGGCCTCAGCCTTTGAGTAGCTGGGATTATAGGTGCATGACACCATGCCCAGCTAATTTTTGTCTTTTTGGTAGAGATGGGGTTTCACCATGTTGGCCAGGCTGGTCTTGAACTCCTGACCCCAAGTGATCTGCCTGCCTCAGCTTCCCAAAATGCTGGGATTACAGGCATAAACCAGCACACTCAGCCTTTGTTTATTAAAATAGTAAAATACTATGATACTGATTGATCGAATTTTCTTTAATATAAGGTGGTTCAGGACAGGGCATGGAAACAGTCAAAATAAAAAGGGATATGACTCACCTAATGGGAAAAATGATTTACAGGAAACACTCTCAATAGTGTCATGTAAATGAAGTATTACTTTCAATAAACAACCCATTACTTAAAATACTTGTAACGATGTACAATAAATTTATTTTAAAAGAAAAAATGTATTTATAGACCTGTTTTTCAAATTTTTCATCCATTGATTAACTTGTGTTCTCTATCTCATGTTCCTGCATGTTTGTAGCTTTGAGAAGTAGTATGAGCGCAGACTTAAATCAGACTGCCTAAATTTGGAATGTCATTTACTAGGTACCAACTACACAGGCTTGGGAAGAGTATTTAACCTCTCAGTGCCTACATCACCTCGTTGTAAAATGGGAATTGTAATAGCCCCTTTTTCTTAAGGGCAGTGAGAAAATTAAGTACAAGAACAGAAAACTGCCTAGTACCTAAGTGCTTTGTAAGTTTCAGCTCTTATTCCAATGTAATTGATATTGCTTTTGATTCTTGTTTCACGAACCATATTTCTTTCTGCTAAATTAAAAGGTTTTGAAAATGAACTAAGTCCTTGTCACAAATACACAATAATGCATAATTATAATATTAATAAACAATAACACAATCCCTGTTATTTCCAATTTTGTTGAGTAGATCTTTGAAGAGATATTTTCTTTCTACATTTAATACAATTTGTTTACCATTTCTCAGCAATACTACTGGCATTATTTATGTTTGACAATGATCTGGAGATTGCAAATAAACTTGATTATTGTAAATATCTGTGCTCTTATTCAAGCATATTTGAGTCGATTGCATCTTTATTTGACTAAACTCTTTGCTGAGTCATTCTTTCTTGGATGAAATGTTATTTTTAGTAATGGATCGTTATTCTTCCTCCTCATCTAGGATTATATCTTCCTGACACATAAGGGCAAATGTGAAGAACTCTTCTGATGCATTATTCACAAAATCTGAAGCTGAAGCTGGTTTATATTAAGTACAATTGAAATTAGATTTTTAAAGAGGGATGTAGTGTCTGTGTAGGGTAGATTTCCTGCAGAGGAAAATAACTTCCCATTTTTATCTCGTTGTATCATTTTAATGATGAAAGCACTTGATTTTCAGTCAGACTAAGAGATATTCACCTTGCTCACTTGTTAATTTTTTTAGCTCTATATGATTCTTTATGTGGTTTGTGAGGTAAATATAACTTGAGATTCAAACTAATGGAACGTACAACCCAAGGTATTGATTGATTGATTTTTTAATTTACATATTAAGGTTTCAGATTTTACTGTGAAACATACCCAGGACTGAGAAATGCAACACAGGGCATAGGAAAGAACCAAGCAAGTATAGGCTTTCAAGAGAAATTTAGAGCTTTGCAGAGTGGATGGCACTAGAGGGTTACTCCCCTTTCCCACTGGCAACAGGACTGGGCTGTTACATTCCTGCCTCAGTTAGCCAATCGATATAGGCCACCACCAGGCTATCATATTTAATCAGCAGCACTTCTATTTCTTAGTGGCCATCAAACAATGGTGTATCTTATAACTTATGACATCTTAAATTTGACAGAAACATGGTATACGAACTTGAAATGAGACATTTCTCTTTAGTTACTGTTTTGGTGGCATTCCACAATTTTTATGTAGTATTTTTATTATCAAACAATTATAAATATTTTCAAATTTCTATTCTAACTTATTCAAACAATGTTTAGAAGTGTTTATTACTCTTTCCAGACATAAAAGGATTTTTAAAAATTGTCTGCTTGTGGCTTGTAATTTTATTGCTTGGGATTAGAGAGCACAGCAGAATCACATAGATTCCTTGGTTTATGTTGAAACTTGTTTTGTGGCCTAGTGTGTGGCCAGTTTTTATACAGGTTCTTTTTTTGTTTTTGCTTAAAAAGATTGTCTATTCCTGGCTGGGCACAGTGGTTCACACCTATATGGGAGGCCCAGGTGGGTGGATGACTTGAACCAGCCTGGGCAACATGGTGAAACCCTATCTCTACTAATAATACAAAAATTAGCCAGGCATAGTAGCACCTTCCTGTAGTCCCAGCTACTTGGGAGGCTGAAGCACAAAAATTGCTTGAACCCGGGAGGCGAAGATTGGAGTGAGCTGAGATTGTGCCACTGCACTCCAGCCTTGGCCACAGGGTGAGACTGTCTCAAAAACACAAAAACAAACAAACAAAAAAAGGGCTTATTGAATTGAATACCATATATTATTAAACTGAGCTTTATATATTCAAATCTGTTTAATTTTTAGTAAGTTTTTGTTTGTCGAATATCAATTTCTAAGAGATGTGTTAAAAAATCTTCAACGATTGTGGATTTGTTCATTTCCTATTGCAAGACTGTTAATTTTTCTTTTTATACTTTGAGATTGTGTTTATAGATACATGCTTATAGTTATCACAACTTCCTTGTGATTGTTCCTTTGAACATGATGTGGTGATTCTCTTTTTCTCCTTATTATTGACTTTATCTTGATGTCTATTTTGTCTGAAGTTAATATGAGCTTTCTTTGGATTAGTGTTGCATGGGATATTATTTCTACCCAGTTAACCTCGGTTTTTGTGTGTCACGTTTTAAATATGTTTCTTACAAACAGCAGAT